CTGAAGAATGGTGTTCTCCGATAAATAGGCAGGAGACCCCATTCATCACTATCAAAGACGCCAACTGCGCCTCACTATCACGTCTCAAAATATGGGCCGAGCATTTCCAGTTAATCACCTGCCAATCAATACCAGAGGATACTTCAGACATACTAACAAAACTAAAAATCCAAAAAAAACCTTGCTCCACTTAATTCACTCCAGATGAATTGAACCAGTTGGGTGGATAAAATTCACAAGGAACTATTTAAGTTTAGACGAAAGGGAATTATGGAAAAGTTCTGTGCCTAATGCAATCAAATCTGGGCCTCCAAACGCTTCCACTGAGAATTGAAGTGAGCAGCAGCTGTTCACATATTAAAAGGAGCTCAAGAAATGGACAGTTCCAATTATCGTTGCATTACACTACAGTCCGCCAGGAAAATCTTCTACTATATTACCGTAAAAGGGTTGAGGCAGGCGTCTGAAGAGAGATCACACAAATCAAGCATGCTCTTCTAGATCGGATAGTTCTGCCTCGACCAAATCTTCACTCTTTGAAAGGTCACTGCGTATTTCATGCTACGCTGGTTTGCCAGTTTCCTAGACCGTCATGGTGCATGTGATTCAATGTGTCGTTCAACGATATGGAAAATCTTAAAACGCTATAGCCTAGCAGAGCACATCTTTCTCATGTTGGAAGAGATGTATGCAGAAACCATTCCTGCTCCAACGTCGTTGGAGAACTATCTGAATGGTTCCCTATGAACTCTGGAGTTCATCGGAAATATCTGCGTTCGCCGCTGCTACCAAACATGGTTGTCGACTTATTCTTCGAAAACAGTGGTGACCCTGGCAAAGACGACCGTGTTCTAAATGGAAGAGACCGTTTAAGATATCCCGCTATGTGTCCTAGTGACTTGGAGCACGACGACGATAGAGTTCGGGTGAGAGTATAGGGAGCGGTTTTTGTCACCTGACCACTTCTATATGAAACAGCGGGCCTTTTTCTAAACGGAGGACAAAACTTGTGAAAAAGGCATCCGACACAGCTGAAATATAGATGGAAAAGGAAGCTGAAACCAATTTAAATATTTCAGCTCTATTCGATGGCACTATCCACCCAGAATTAAATAGGAAAATTCTCTAAGCCTCGGATGCCTGCGGAACTACGTCTCATGTTTAGGCTGTGAATCAAGTATATCTTTTCACAAAAATTCGCATTCAACTTTTGCCATAAGTGTTGTTCTACGGCCCGCAGACAGTTCTAATAACGAAAGAGCAAGAATGACAGTTGAGCTGCATACAGATGCGCTGGATTCGACGTATAATGACGGTAAAATGGAAGGGCAACGTAAAGAATGATTGTATTCTTCTCCGAGCATAGGTGACCTAGGTAAATATAAAGAAAAAGAAGGGAAATTAGCCTTGTTGGACAAACTGGGTGCGTGTACATCATATTGACGTGCTCTTGGCCGCCAGAGTTCAAAACAGGTAGGCCTGCCGTCTGAAGATCAGAAAGAACTTCCCGGAGGAGAGCAGAGGTTGGTTCATTTGGCTGTCAGCGAGAAGTGGCTGAGAATCAAAGCTTGCAACTGGAATGCGAGTCGAAAAAGCGCCGAGAGGGCCAGCGAAAGCAGCGGTCAAAGCCAAAGCTAACTTCTGGGAAAAGACCGGTGAGAGGCGGGAGAGGAGGGGTCGAATTTTCGGATGTGAACAGAGTAATCCCGCAGGCCACCGGCCGCAACCGAAATAGCACGAAGGGCAGTCAATGGATCATGACGGACAGGTCTGGACGCCTTCTTACCAAGAAACCGCGTACACTGCGACAATAAAGAGAGCATTTTGAGAGAAACTCCTTAACTCTGAACAACCGCAGAAGGACTAACCTGAAGAACAACACGCAAAGCATATTAATCTTTTCCAGAGAAAAGTCAAAGAAGGCGAGAAAGGCTTGAAAAGAGGAAAGGCTGCTGGAATCAGTAAAGTCCGCTTTGAAATGTTAAAAACTTTAGGCGAACAAGGCGTTGTGGCTAACACGAGTCTGACGAAATGTATTTGACTACGGATAAATACCGATGCACTA